TGGACTCTTATCGCCAGACCATCGTCTGTTCCTGGTAAAAGAGCAAGCACAGATCCATCTCACATCGGAGTCACCCGTGAAATCAAATGGTAGCCGGGATATCATACTAATTAGAACTTGGCAAAATCAGTTCTGTTCAAAGACCCTAGTAGTTCTCCTAGGGCGCAATTTTTCACCTGTTTCTTTTGAAAGCGGATGGAGCATCGGTACAATCATACCCATACCTTTTTTGGAAGGCCTGCCTATACAAAATAAGTGGACCTACACACAAAAGTCACTCACGCGTCATAGCGAGTGGCCAGAGTGCCCGCGTCGTGACCAAGGTATGCGAGGTGCCTTCCAGGCATCCCATGCGGAAATGCAGGCCCTTGCGTTTTTGGCTGAGCAACAGCCTTCATCTAGGTCTCACTCCACGCAGGGTGGGGCGCCGGATTCTCCAGATGCAACAATCCTCGTGACAAGCGAGCCATGTGCTGTTTGCCATAAGAATCTGAATACGTTCTGTCAAAATACCCCCATGACTATCCGTGTGGTATACCCAGGGCCCAATGGTAACAAGAGGAGGTTACGGACATACCCATATCTGTTGAAGGTTCACCCTTTGACTCTTGCGCTCACTAATAGACTTAGCCAATAGTAATAGCTCACGTCGTAACTCAATGTATTTAAGGACGCGGGATGACACAGCCAGACCTTACTGGTCTTGCCTCTCACCTCACGCGTCCTAGGTTTGTTACACCATATATACTGGTCTTGCCTCTCACCTCACGCGTCCTAGTATCAACAATATCATGAAAAATGCGTAACTCCACGACGTGAGTCACCACCCAATACCTCTTCGTTCCTGTTGCTCATTATTTAGTGACCATTGTGGCGACCGTGTCGATGACCGAGAGGTGAAAGCGGCTCCATGTGAGATCTGACGCCATGTAGTGGGATCAAGTCGGGATGAAAATGCGATATTCTGATGCTCTAATGGATTCCCTGGTATAATACTACTGCAACTTGCCCTCCCATACTGAAAACCGAGAAAGCTTCTTGAGGCGTAGGAAGACTGGAAGAAGGAAATGGAGGCGAGCAGGGACACGAGACGCTAACGGGGGTTGAACTTAGAACGGCGAGGAAACAGCTGGAATTCGGAATCTGTTACTTCGTTATGTACAGGATGGATAGATTATGGGGGTTATATACGCGCGAGAGCGCCAGAAGAAACGCGGAAGGATGGGAACGAAGAGTAGGAGCTGGGGATGAGACACGAGAGGAGCTGCTGCGCCGCTTCGAGAGTGTAAGAGACTAGTTAGAGTGTCAGAGACTAGCTAACTAATCCCGAGAGTTCCCACTGGGCTCGTGCCGTCAGGCGCAAGGGCGTTACAGTGTCAATCCCAACATACTGCGCAGTCTGCTTCGCAATCGCTTTCTATAGCCGTCAACTTCAAACCACCAAAAGTAAACGACAGACTCGGACGGTTCCCAACTGGCCCCAACGTAGAAAGACCCAACCACGCAGCATCGTACTCCGGAGCAAGGCCTTTTCTGGAGATCATTGACACCGGCCCGCTTTGCTGAAGTGGGTTCACAACCTTTGAATACCGCCTGGGCTCATCTAAACTTTCTGATAAAGCCGAATCCAGCCGCTTTCCGACCCACCATGCCCCTGGCCAGCGCTACGGGGCTGCTTCGGCGTCTTGTCCTTGTCGCGTAGGTCAATTATTTTGGTATGACTTAATCCCCGTATTTGCGCTCATCCAAGACTCATTGTAATCGCACCGCGGAGAAGCGGTTGATCCGGGTATGCATACAGATACTCGGCTACACTAGCAGAGCCCGCTGACTGACCACCGAGAACAATATGAACAGGATCGCCACCAAATGCTGCTATGTTTGCGACCACCCACTCGACGGCTGCTCGTTGATCGCGTAGACCAGCATTGGTGTCGTTGTAAGAGAGAGCGGGTGAGTCGGCATAACCGTAAAAATTGAGCCGATAGTTTATCGACACAAAGACAATATCCGGTCGCACCTTTGCCCATTTTGTGAGATCATTGACTGAGAATGGTTGGTATTCAGCCATCTAAAAAGTAGCAATTTCTTTTACATACAGTAGCCACTGGCAGTGCCAGAAGTCCATGCACCACCGTAAAGCCACATAAATACAGGCCGGAGCTTGTTCGCCACAGGAGACGTCCATACGTTGAGATAGAGACAATCCTCACTCTCGACGGTATAGATTGGCGTTGAGACTGGATTGGATGCAAGAATTGCCAAATGTCGACCCATTGCGTTCGGTTTCAGGGGTGAGAATTGGGCGAGGGGCAAGGAATCGGAGCGGTCCAACGGGCGGTTGAGCGTACGGGACGTTGAGATACGCATAAGTCGTGTCCGAGAGAGCTTTCCCTATGATCTTTCCCGCCGTGGTTTGAACAACCGGGACTTGTTGCGCAAAGCCGACAATGGCCAAGCACAGCGACGCTGCAAACGCTTCAAGGGTGAGGCGAACCATGATATTTACGTTGATTTGGGACTCTCCCTTATCTTTTATAAACTACTGCGGGCTGCGGCGGGCATTTATTTGAAACCCCGAAAGGAAGACGTCCATGAGAGAAGTATATTCAAAGATAGAGCCGACAACAAAACGATTAGCATTCAAAACTCAGAAGTACTTTCTCCGTCTAATGCTCGATGTCCTACGACGGCGTCGGGCAATGGGGGGTAATAGATCACACCTCTATATTTGCTCCTCTTGATAAGTCGACGATTGAATAGACACAATGGGTCCAATATTCGGCTTCTGTACATTCGCCGGCTTAGACAGGCAACCGACTGCGCCACTGATGCGAACTTCCCCTTCGATCGAAAACAGATTTTCCGTTTCCTACGACTGGATTGTTGTTACAAAGAGAGGTACATGTCATCAAGAAGACAGATTACATTCGGCATACGGTGCAAAACACTAGCAGTGGTATACAACGATAAGCTTATTAGACAAGAACGGTCGGTGACACGGCTTTGAGAGAAACACTCGTCCATGGGAGGTGTTCGCAACTAGGTATGAAAAGTCCATGTCGAGTCACAAGACTGAGCAAGTATTAATAAGCCGTCTGAGAAATACGAGCATGAAAGGGGGGCTCACCAATATCAGTCATTGATTTGGTCAGATTGCCTGCATTCTCGTCCCTGACTCCAGCCATCGACTGTCTGGGTGTAGCCGCGACTGGCGTAGTCATTCATGTAGCAACACGGCTAAGCAGCTCGAGAACACGTTCGTCACGCGGAAAATGATGATTCATCACCGGGTATGGATCTAACAGCAACCTAGCATCTTGCGACCGGATGGCAATGAGAAGATACGGACATACAGAACAACTACTCGTTTTTGTTGTACATGATCAATACATTGAAGGGCTCCGTCTTGCGCGCTTGCTCGTACATAGCTGGACGAACCGTGCTTCCCTCTACGTTGAGGTCATCGGGATCGCACGTCGCAGCGGTCTACCTGAAACATAATCAGCACTGAAAAGAATAAGGCAATGTTCAAATGCACCGCACACCTGAACTCTCTCTCTCCGTCTTTTGAGGTGACATGTCCAAGAGCTTGCTAGGCCCTCTGTGGTCGATGACCAAGTCTCGTGAAGCGCTCATATCGCTTCTTGTTCTTGTACTGACAGGGCACGCCTTTGTGGGATGCGGCTGTACCTCGATATATCCACGCATCAATCCCCCTATTTCTGTACAAGGAACAAAATATTGCGCACCAAATATGCTATCATCGTCTTCGAGAATATCTGGGCTGAATCACCGACGCCGAATCGATCCTGCTTGTGACGTTCCGCAGCGCTGCCTACTCGAGGCGGACCAAGCGGACTTTGGTATCTACACCTTAAACGAAGCCGTCTTCCTCACCATACCGACTATGTCTACTCGTAGTACAAGTCGTAAATCCGCCAGCACCACCTCCAATCACGGGCGTATCGCTCAACTGGACCTTTTGCGTCCCAACCGGGGAGGCACCGCAGGCGCTGGGGTTGTTGGCCGTTGATTGTCCAGGGAGAGATGCAGGAAATCCGGATTGACGGTCGAATATGGTCGCCCATCGATATTCCCTAGCACGCCCAACTCGCTGGCGCCGCTAAACGGCGAGGCGCACTATTGTACCGCCCGCCACCACCTCGATGGCGAGGTTTCGACGAGAAAAAGGTGGGAGTGTCGGTGTACGGACTCGGGTGTGACTTCCTGGTGTAAGAAATAGGCTTGGACGGCTGCTTCGAGAGAACTGGGCCAGTGGATGTGAACAAGCTGTTGGGATTCTCGTATGTCGGTTGGTCATAGTATCCTCCGTATAGACCATCGTAGCTTAGTCCAATAATACGCGTCAGCTCATCTTGATTCAACAAACTAGACCACTCCAAGTTCGTAGATACCAGCTGGGCGAACCCAACAAAGGAAGGATGAACATACCCAAACTGTATCCATATCCAGCATCTACGGCTCCACCCAGCATGTATCTGCCCTGTGAATACGCTGCCTGATTGTTGAGAGCGGGGTTTGTCGGTGGTCTTGGCGGGACCGGAGGAGCAACCCGAACTATTCCGGTTATTCGTATTCTACGGTGAACTAGATTCGTCCTAACGCGGCGGGTAGTGATCCTGCTGATAGTCGAACAGGTTTTCCATCAGCGGCTATGACTTTGGGAGTCACAACAGGCATGAAAAAGATGGCTTCTGACAACGAAATATCGTCTAGAATGAGATGAGACGCGTGTATTCTTCGTGGCGTCTAGAATAGACGGACGCGGTCGGGGACAAAGTCCGTATTTGGAAGGGCGGCAGGCAACCAGAGACGGCAAGTGTGGCCGACGTCGCCCTCGAACAGCCATTTCTCATAAACAACTAGAACTCGCTCAGACTCTGCATCCACAGTCGCCGGATTATAAGCGCTACTGTCCAAAGGGCAATCGCCGACAATCGGCAATCTGCCAGCCTCATTTGGATTCGACCTCTACCATGCGCGCTTTCTCTAAACTCGTGGGGAAATCCAAGAAATCTCAGGCAAATAAAGAAGATCTACCCAGATATTCAGCTTCCTCTCTTCAGGAGGACCCTTCCCTCAAGGGAGACAAACTGATGGATACAGCAAACATATTCCTCGAGTTTACGGCGAATATAGCAGAAGCATCAGACGTACTCGGTCCCCTCAAAGCGGCTTGTAAAGCAACCCAGACGGTCATCGGCATCATTCAAGTGAGTTATCGAGACTGGCACACCCATCTGGTCTGATGAGGACGGAATCAGGGCGTAAAGAACAACCGCGAAGATTGGTCGGAGATTATACAGCGTCTCCAAGACTATCTTTCGGCTATCGAGGAACAAATCACCCTGCTCAAAGGCGAGAACACCAGTGGGCCGCTCGACGAGGCATTTAGTCGACCACTCACCCGTTATGTCAAGTACGTAATCGAAATTCACTCGAGTCCATCATACTGATCGTTGTAGACATCTCGAGGACCTCCATAAGAGGATCGTTGACCGCACGGAACAACAAAGGAGCAAATCACTCGGACGTTTCGCAGAAATCAGTACCATCAAGATTGACGCCGGGGATATCCAAAAATTCAATCGAGATATCGAGGCTCAGCACAGGCAATTTATGGTATGAACGCCATCATCGATATTCATCAACTTAATTTATGAAGGATGCATTGAATGTCTACTGCAAACCGCGTTCATTCAACACGACACCGAAACTATCAGCGCGACACCAAAACTATCAAGCGCGACATGGAAACCATGCTGACAGAAGGTATGCTGGATCATTTGTGTCTGAAGAACTCACTAACGCCCATCGGAAGCCGACTATAATACCATACTCCAGATGCCAATGGTTGCTTCTGCTGCTTCTTCGGTTCACAATGCTTGTCTCAAGGGAACCCGCCAGGCCGTCCTACAGGAAATCTGGCGTTGGGCCGGAGAGGAGACATCAGAAACGCCCATTTTCTGGCTCTGTGACATAGCTGGCTCGGGTAAATCAACAGTCGCAATGTCCGCTATAGAACATTGGAAAGCGGAAGGGACCCTGGGTGGCACCTTCTTCTTCTCCATGTCGAACAGCGAATCATCCACTACCGACAAGCTCTGTTCCACCATTGCTAGAGACTTGGCTCAACACATTCCCGAGCTGGGTTCATATATCGCCAAGGCCTGGAAGCAAAACCCTTCCATCCAGCGAAGCTCGTTCGATGAACAGTTCCGGACGCTCATCAGTAGCCCACTCCAGTATCAACAAAAGCGAGTGATTCTGGTCGTAGACGCCATGGACGAGTGCAAGTCTCGACAACAGCGACAAGAACTTGTAAAGACCCTCGCTGCCGCCGTTCGGGAGAGCAAGAATTTACGAATATTCATCACCAGTCGGCCAGACCCTGTCATCGAAAGGGCGTTACAACCTCTTTCAATCAAATTCAAGTTGACAGACCGCCTCCACGATACAATCCATCACGATAATATCGATGACATCGCGACTTATATCCATCGGTCGCTCGACGGTCTGCTATCCCATGATGAGAGGCAGCGACTGGTCAACAAGGCCAATGGGCTGTTCATTTGGGCGAGCACTGCATGCCGAATGCTGGATGATGAATCTTCTCCAGTCAAACCCAAGGTTGTATACGATCGCATAATGTCAATCGATCAACCTGGAGCGATTGATGGCGTATATGACTTGGTATTGGAGCGCATTGACGAAAAGTTCAAGCCGATCATTGTCGAAATGCTCGGTATGCTATTTTGCGCGCTCGAGCCACTCACCAGCGACGACTTGGACGATCTCATTGAGCATACTCAAGGACAAGGGAGTGCCAAAGCGTTGATACGGATTCTAGGAAGCGTACTGAAGGAGGATCCAATCACCCACACGATCCAGTTTCGCCATCCCACCTTTGTCGAATACCTTCGGCGAGGTCGCATCACCGGGAATAAAGAAAGCGACAACAGAATAGCCATTGATACTGCCCGTGCAAATGGTCAAGCCGCATCCTGGTGTCTACACCGTCTCAAATCGCGCACGGAGGGCCTCAGGTTCAACATATGCCGTATCGAGTCATCCTTCTACCTGAACAGGCAGATTCCAGACCTCCAGGAGCGAGTAGCCAAATTCATTCCGCGGAGACTTCGCTATGCTAGTTTGCACTGGCCATTCCATATAGCCGCAATGGACAGTGACTGGGGACGCAAGCTAAGGAGTGAGCTGGCGCATATAGTCAAAAGTCCATTCACACTCTATTGGATGGAGATCCTGAGCGTGACTGGAGGAGTGATGCGGGGAGTGTCCGGACTGCAAGCTGCATGGCAACATAAGAGTGTCAGTGGTTTATCTGAGACCTTCCGATTGCTAAAATAATAGATAGCTCGAGGAGGAGGTTAGAGGTCGGATGAATGACATCAGACGGTTCTTGATGGCATTTGCTGTACCGATCCAAGACAGCGCGCCGCATATCTACATCACAGCGCTCCCATTCAGTCCGCTAAAGTCAATACTACGCACAGAGGGTTTAAAGGAGCATATGAACTCAGTGTTGGTGACCAGAGGAGCCGAAGAAACGTTTCCTGGGCTTCCCAGAGCGCTGCTAGGTCACCAGGATGTTGTCAGAACGGTTTCATTCTCACCAGATGGCACGCGAATCGTCTCTGGTTCTGACGACACGACAATTCGACAGTGGGATGCGGAGACTGGCCAGCCAGTGGGAGAGCCACTCCGAGGTCATGAAGAATCGGTCAAAGCTCTCGCATTCTCACCAGATGGCACGCGAATTGCCTCTGGCTCTGAAGACAGGACAGTTCGACAGTGGGATGCAGAGACTGGCCAGCCAGTGGGAGAGCCACTCGGAGGTCATGAATGGAGGGTCCATGCTGTCGCATTCTCACCAGATGGCACGCGAATTCTCTCTGTCTCTGACGACAGGACAATTCGACAATGGGATGCAGAGAGTGGCCAGCCAGTGGGAGAGCCACTCCGAGGTCATGAATGGGGGGTCAATGCTGTCGCATTCTCATCAGATGGCACGCGAATTGTCTCTGGCTATTACGACAGCTCAATTCGACAGTGGGATGCAGAGACTGGCCAGCCAGTGGGCGAGCCACTCCAAGGTCATCACTTCTCGGTCTACGCTGTCGCATTCTCAGCAGATGGCACACGAATTGTCTCTGGCTCTAAAGACAACTCAATTCGACAGTGGGATGCAGGGACTGGCCAGCCAGTGGGACAGCCACTCTGGGGTCATGAAGATTCGGTCAAAGCTCTCGCATTCTCACCAGATCGCATGCGAATCGTCTCTGGCTCTGACGACAGGACAATTCGACAATGGGATGCAGAGAATGGCCAACCAATGGGAGAGTCACCCCGAGGTCATCAATTCTCGGTCAACGCTGTTGCATTCTCGCCAGATGGCAGGCGAATTGTCTCTGGTTCTGACGACATGACAATTCGACAGTGGGATGCGGAGACTGGCCAGCCAGTGGGAGAGCCACTCCGAGGTCATGAAGAATCGGTCAAAGCTCTCGCATTCTCACCAGATGGCACGCGAATCATCTCTGGTTCTTACGACAGGACAATTCGACAGTGGGATGCAGAGACTGGCCAGCCAGTGGGAGAGCCACTCAAAGGTCATGAATGGAGGGTCCATGCTGTCGCATTCTCACCAGATGGCATGCGAATTGTCTCTGGCTATGACGACATGACAGTTCAAAAGTGGGATGCAGAGAGTGGCCAGCCAGTGGGAGAGCTACTCCGAGGTCATGAAGGGAAGCTCAACGCTCTCGCATTCTCACCAGATGGCACGCGAATCGTCTCTGGCTCTGAGCACATGACAGTTCAACTGTGGGATGCAGAGACTGGCCAGCGAGTTGGAGAGCCACTCCGAGGTCATCATTTCTCGGTCAACGCTGTCGCATTCTCACCGGATGGCACGCGAATCGTCTCTGGATCTTTGGACAGTACAATTCGACAGTGGGATGCAGAGACTGGCCAGCTAGTGGGAGAGCCACTCCAAGGTCATGAATGGGGGATCAATGCTGTCGCATTCTCACCAGATGGCACGCGAATTGTCTCTGGCTCTGATGACAAGTCAATTCGACAGTGGGATGCGGAGACTGGCCAGCCAGTGGGAGAGCCACTCCGAGGTCATGAAGGGAGGGTCAATGCTGTCGCATTCTCACCAGATGGCACGCGAATCGTCTCTGGCTCTGAGGACAGGACAATTCGACAGTGGGATGCAGAGACTGGCCAGCCAGTGGGAGAGCCACTCCGAGGCCATGTATCCTCCGTCAACGCTGTCGAGTTCTCACCAGATGGCAAACAAGTTGTGTCTGGTTCCATTGATATGAGAATTCAAATTTGGAGTTCGGACAATGGTGAGCTGATCCTGAATCTCTCTTTGATTTGTAGCCTCAGTTTGTTATGGCGACTGACCATATGCTGGATCTAGGTAACTACAAAACAGCACACGTATCTCAGGTAGTATCAAGTCTCTTTCCATTGATTTGGCGATTGCTCTTTGCTGCCCAATGGATGAGTGCAGTCTTCTGGTCAATACCTCTTCTGGGTACCACCTAATAATCGTCATGGGCTGAAGCACCCACGCCTTGCTCTGAGTATACCCACTTCAAGTCACCTTAGAGCGACGAAACTCGATTTCACTAATTTCCAGTGTGGAACGTCGTGGACCAAAGTTCGAACAAGCTCATAGTTGTGTGTAAATGTATCAGCTTAGGATATAATTGGTACTAGTGCCCAGTGGGGACTATAAAATCCGATTAACCTTGCCGCTCCTGCGGACCGCCTGAGAATATGACGCGGAGATCATGGACAGATGGCGTGCGTCCTTCATGCATGTGAAGAGGGTGGATTGTGTTCATGTATGCATCGTTCGATGCACTTATGGCACAGACTGGTTTGTCTGTCGTTGGTCTAAGCAGCATAGGTTATGAGCACTACAGTGGGCTCCAAAACTGTTCCAATGTTGGTCACAGGTGGCTTGTCGGCCCGATTACTCAATAAGGGCCTATAGTAAACTCATGAAACCTTTATGATAGATATATTAGCTTCTTATCTTTGTATGAATATCGCTTTTGTAACTACTCGTCAAGAAATGAGCGAGATATAAGAGAAATAGCGACGCCACTCATTGGAACAGTTTTGCACCTTTTTGTCATGTAACCTGGTAAGATTAAAGTTTGAGATCATGTGACCTCTGGGTATATATTAGAGTGCTTCAATGAACAGAGAACATTGAACTAAGATGCGTCGACACCCCACAGCCAAGCTCCAGCGTGTCATTGAACTCCTAGAGTGTTAAGTCCAGCTTCCGGCGCTTCGTTAACGATGCGAATTGAGCGGAAAGGACTTTCCTCCAGACACGATACGACGAGTGCAACAATTAAGCCGGATTATGCATTTGCCACGGTGGTGGGTGTATCACTCGGCAAGGTGACCTATCGACCACCCGCCAACGTGCTCGAAGAGGCTATGGCTGTTACGTAAGTGTTTCCCTGTTAATTATAAAATTTAGCGTTTGACTGATTGGATTTTTTTTGCAGGACGAGACTGCGACCGACATTGGCTCGTGCGCTCTTGGGATGGGAGCCTCGCAAGGCGGGTTTGGTAGATGGCATGGTGACCTATCTCGAGGCGTACAAAGGATCCATCTCAACACTCTTGTACTGATACAGTTATCTTTGAAATGAACCCTTTACGCCTGTGCTTTTGATGACCGAATCCATCGTTCGGGCACCTTTTGGCTCCAAGTGGCCTAGTTGGGCGAACACGAGGCGCGCCGCTGCCAGTCGACCGGTTCTCGTTAGCCGGCAATCTCCTAGACGTCAGCATCCTTCTCGATAAGACGAACCAGATGGTTATTTCTTCTCCTTTTGTTGGGTTACCAGAGGTTGCTCCGTCTGTGTTGAGGATGTCCGATTCTTGTACCGACACGTTCGCACGGCAGAATCAGTGGGCGCGCGTTTCACCTTTATGGTTTGGGTGAACATGTCCCCAGGTAAAGGTGCATCATTTGCATCCACCTGGACACATAAGGAACGTGGGTAACCAGCCTGTTATACACCCGAGGACAGCGGGTCGAACCATCTTGACAAAATTTTCTCGGGACTTGCTTCACAAGTTGTGTATATGTCACTCTTTTTTGTGCGTGTTGCAGATAGCAGAACGAAGAAAGTACACGGCTAAAGTATGGCACACAACGAATCGAAAGCGTTGTCCCTGTTGTCCTTGGTGGCGTGATGACAAGGAGAGTGAGAGCGACATCCTTTAGAGAAAAGTGAATGGTCATTGTAGTCTTTTCATGGTCGTGTAGAGGTCTAAAAGGCGAGACCGACAGCGGCGAGGGCAAGGGCACCAAGAGTTGCCCCGGAAAGGGTAGCCTTGTTCATCGCACCTCCAGAGCTTCCGCTGCTGCTGGACGACGAAGCGGAAGAGGTACCACTCGACGATGTAGAATGGCTCCCGGTCGACGTAGGCGTGAGCTGGGCGGTCGGAGTGGTTACAGGAAGTTGCGAGTTAACGCCCTGTATTTTGTAGTCAGTCATGATATTCTATAATCGTGGTAGAAGAGACGTACAGCGACTCCGCAGAATCCAGCCGAGTACTGAATGGACGTAAGTAGGTCCTGGTGGTCTGCGCAGTCCTGAGAAAGCAGTGAGAAAAGGGGAAAAACAGAATAAAACAAGGATGCATACCGTGGCGAGGCAGTTGATAACGCCCTGAACATATTCTACCGAGGAGCACAGACACGCAAAGTTTGCTGGGTCGCAACTACCCGTTGGAACATTATTTGTGCCCGTGTTCAAGCAGCGGGTCGCACAGGCTGGCGGTTGGCTTTGGCGTCGTCCGATGTTGGCCGCAGAGGCGACGGCGGCGAGGGAGAGGACGGCAAACGTAAAAGTGCGCATGATGTTGATCTTGTACAGATAGGTTACACGTAGAGTCGTTGGTGTAGACTCTGGTTTGCGAGGGTAGAGTAAAAGGGGGGGATCGAGGGCGGGTACAAGCCTCTGCGGCCTCGGGGGGCATGGAGACTCCGTGGGTATTTATGCTATTTGCTCGCCTCTAGGGGCCCATTTGGCGTCTGTGTGGTGCCTGGCGGCGGTAGCAGGAGGAGGACAATAGCGTCGAATAAAGACTGGGACAAGTCAAAGGTCGGCCCATTCCAGCCGTGCGCTCCGTCTGCTCATTCGGCCAGACCTCCTATTCTCTCCGCCGCTGTCGCTTGTCTAATTTTGCTTTTTTCAGACACCGTCCAGTCAACTTTTTTACCCTCACAAACCGTTACCCCGGCCGCCGCGAGGGGCTCAACCTTGGCTTTGTGATCTCGTCGCCACTCCCAACAGGTCATAGTCTGTTCCTCCGAGACAAAATTCAATACCAATCAGACTGGATGATCCCCGTCAGCCGACATAACCCAAGTCAGTCCTCATTGGCTTCTGTTTCGGCGGTCCAAACTAGACTTGTTCATGCACCGAGATTTCGATCAAGGGGGACACCACGAATATCCTCCTTGTCCAGTGGAATGAACGTCCTCTTCTTTATTTCCCAGCGGCTTGTTCCTGTAGTACACCACATTGTTGACCTACCGGTCGTACGCCTCTTGCAATCTTCTTAGCTCGAGTGTTGTCACTCCAGCTGTCTGCCAATCTGACATTGGAATCTCACTTGAGTTGTCCGTTGGAAGGTAGCTTGCAGTGCGCAATTTACTCTCCAGCGAGATGAGGTCTCTCTTGGCTTGAGCATACTGCCCGATGATGTCGGTGACCACTCGTTCGGATATGCTACCTGATGGCTCGTGTAACTTTATTTCGTTAGGTCGGTTTTGTAACACTGGGAACGTCAATCTGGTCTCGTTTGGCTCGCTGTAGGATGGAGGAGCAGGAGATTGAGTATTAGATGGATATGGAAAGGATGTGTGCCTAGTGTTTAACCATAGGACATCGTTGAAGGGTATGCGGATGACTGGGAAGCCGGCACGAATGAGGCGTTGGGGGTTCCACGTTCTGTCAAGTGCCTCTTTCGGGATTGACGAGAGAAGAGGATGGAAAATCCAATAACAATCACGCTTAAAGAACGACAACTCCAACGGCTCCTCCAATGATGGCCCTAGTATTGATTTGGCGTTGTCCAACGTTGGCAGTGACTACGTGGTCAGCGAAGGAGAGTATAGACGACTTGGTACGCACGATCGGATAGAATTATTCTCGTAGAACTAGAGACCTTGACGCTTCCTCGACTAGATGAACGAGAACGAGCGCACGCATCCAGCATTGTCATGGTGCAGCATCTGTGCAGCTCAAAGATTGAAACACTTCCAGTCGCATGGTAATTCTAGCAAACTCGTCGACTTTATGGATGCGCACAGAGTACAGAGAACTGGGGTCAGGCCGGCCGCCGGGGTCCACCAAACTTTGTCGCCCTTACACCGATCCCTCGACCACCACTCCCGCCGCCCATCTGCACAAATGGCAAGCAAAATTCATCAAATCATTATTTATCAGCTGTATACTGACTGTTAATACCTTTGGAATCTCACATTGTCACCTATGCCGGCTTTTGCACGATATACCACTTGGATGATTCAAACGACTCGCCATGACGCTCTTACGCAACGAATCACTGTATAAACCTATCATGCACTGGACTTATTGGACGACGACAGGCCCCCACCGAAAAGAAGAAAAAGGTCAGTTTACATTATGGCGTTTCAATGAATCTGGCTAACAGATCCTGCTCTTTACTCTTTTAATCGTACCAATACTGCAATATGTTCATCCCATAGACCGGCAAGCGCAGCGCTCGCCGACGTTGTCACCCGCGAGTACACTATCCACCTCCACAAGCGCGTACACGGTCGATCCTTAAGAAGCGTGCACCATGGGCCGTCAAGGTACGTTGGATCCTCTCAACTCGATCTGCGATGCGCCCAACTCACACAATCCCCGACCAGTCCGTCGTCGAGTTTGCTCGAAAGCACATGGGTACTTCAGACGTTCGCATTGACCCAAAACTCAACCAACAGCTCTGGAGCCGTGGCGTCAAGAGCGTCCCCCATCGCATGCGTCTCAAGCTTGAGCGTGCGTCCCATGTCTATTTGTATCAAATCCACGTTTACATTGATTTACAGGAAAGCGAAATGACGACGAGGGTGCAAAAGAAAAGCTGTACACTTATGCCTCGTACGTCCCGGTCGAGTCGTTCAAGGTACATTCTCTTTCTGTCTGTCACCTTGATTCATGCTCACGTTGTCGGTAGGGTCTGCAAACAACCGTCGTCGACGCCGAGTAGATGTGCCTTTACTTTTGGTCTCTCGCCGTTCGTAGCAGCTAGCAACCTTCTTGTACGTTATCGGTATCGCTTCGCATACGCACTCCCATGCACAATGAAAACGTATGCCGCATGCACAAACTTTGTTTCATCTAAGTGGCGGAACACGCCAGACTTTGGCAGAAGGAGAATTGGTTTCATTCGATATTCGAATGACTAGCATAGGTATACGAGCCACATTCGGTCCAAAAGTTATAAATCGAGATGGAGTTACTATTTGATGGCTATCCTTGAGCTGGGCGGAACCGCGGCCAGATGGCAAACACTTGGACAATAGTGTACAAAAGAGTCGACCGTCACCCAGCGTCCTTAAGCCTTGTAAACCTGCAACGAGTCGTGAGACAAAAGGCTTCAAGTTTGAATAGAAGGTGTAAACATACCGCCTTTTGGGCCTCGGTCATGCTCTTCCAGAGCTTTGCAGCTTCTACTGCCCCATATGTGGCTGGTCTCTGGCCTGCGGGTGCCTTTGAAACATCGATCGTCCCATTCTTCATTGACTCGGCGTAAAACTTGACGAATCCGGTAGGGGCCCTCTTCTTCGTAGCTAAACCAACATGTTATACACGACGGCTTTATAAACTGTTCGTGTACTCACGATCGGTCACAGCTCCGAGCTTTTTATGGGCACCCCTCTTTGTGAGATACTCGTTGATGGTTCTGACCTCTCCCTGTGTAAGATCCGCACGCCACTTTTCGTAAATTTGGGCACGCTTGACTCGCTCCGTAGCGGCTTCCTCCTCGAAAGGCTATCGACGGCTTAGTGCTAAAAAACCTCGTCGGCAGTGGACAGAGCACACCTTCTTCTCCGCATCTGTCATTCCACTCCACATTGAAGTAAGTTGAATCAACCCCGCTGTAGCGCTCTCAGGCTTGGGCTGGAGAGTCGGATACATGCGCTTGACGAACATGGTCAAGGCAGAGACACGGCGCGGAGGGGGACGAAGTGAAGCTACACGTGACATCATGTCAGTTTGTCCAATTCTATGCACGTCTGTTATTCACTCACGATCGGTACGTGGCGTTGGAGCTTTCTCCTCCTTCTTGGGAGCCGCCTTTTTCTTCTTTGGTGCCGCCTTCTTCTTTGCAGCAGTTGTAGCAGTCTTGCGCTTGGAGCAGCCTTCTTCCTCGTCGTCTTCTTCGCCTTTGTCGTCGTACCTACGAGGTGTAACCACCGAACCATCAATCCCCAATCGTCTCGCGCTTGAAAAGTCCCATGACTACTCACTCTTTTTCACCGTCTTAGGCTTTGCAGCTGTTGTTTTGGACTTTGGCTTCGCTGCGGGTGACGCAAGACGCGCAGAGATGGCGAACCCGCGTGCGTTTACGACGGCAAGGTTGTGCATCGCGGATCGGCTAAATACGCGCCTAGATGAGATTCCGAAAGGTTTTGCGTGCAAGGCACTGCGCATGAGCAGTCTGTGGGCGACAATGGACGACATGTTGTGGAGCCCAAAAGGTCGAAAGTAATGTGAACGGGTTCAAGTGAAGACGATAAGGTTACCATGACCAGCTTCGTTTAGATTGCAATGATTATCAACTTTTTGATATATGTCTAGTCTACCTTCGAGCGGTCGTAGACTTCCGCCGACGAGTAAAGTAACCTTGGACCTCGCCATGTCGTTGAACGCTGTCCTCTCGCCAGCACTGAGAGAAATCCGTCTACTCTTTTGTCAAACTGGAACAGCTTCTGCTGGTACAAGGTCCGTATTTGTACTTGTGGCTTTGTTTCGACAGAGCAAATGCGCTAAAACGAGACTGGTTGAGCAGGCACTTTGTTCTTTCCGCATATCCACTCATCAAGAAGAATAATCCTGATCTCCCTGTGCTCATTCGAGAAGCCCAAGGAACGCCAGCTCGTGCCTTTGCCCGCTTTGGTATGTGGTTGGTGTTCTCTGTCTATGAAGCTAACGACATTCTTTTGCATCTTACAGAACGAGGAGTAGAGCGTCACGTCGAGCTTGAAGGTCTCTCTGCAGAACAAGTCGAGCAAAAGGTTACCGACCTGCTCACGAAACCACCTTCGTAGTCCTCAATCACGCAATCCTGTACCTCTTAGAAGTATCAATATGATGGCGCAACCCGTGACTTGATAAAATATCATTATTGTACTTGTACAGGCATCAGGAAACCTGCGTTCGCATCTCGAATGGTATGCAAAAGATGGCACTCGATGTGATGCTCGGAATTTCCTCGCAGTTTGGGCCTTGGTAATGCGGGGGTTGCAACTGTGGCCGACCAAAATTGATACGGTCTGCTCTCCGATTCCTCGACACTATGGCTCCAAGCTATACGTGTTCTTTTCGAGCTGATACTGTGGTCAGATTGCCCACTACGCCCCCTGGGTTCCCCACTCACCTCGGACTCCAGCTCGGCCCTCATGTTCTCCTCCCCGTCCGCTTTGATCAGCAAATGAGTTTGGTCAAGGTCCTCGATGACAAATCTATCCTCGTCCCTCCGCCTCTCGTTCATTTGCAACAGAATTTGCTTGACGGCTGCATCGCTGTGATTGGTTCGGTCCAAACCCCGCGCGCGGAAAAACTGATTAGAACGACGTAGCAGCCCATTTGTCATCTCAGCTCACCAAGTGATCAAGACGCCCTTGACGGCTTTCATGACCGCAGTGATGGTCAAGTCTAAACGATCCAAGTTCGCCGCACCCACCGCACCATCAAAAAGATAAAGATTATCCGAGGTTTCGTCGTGTCGATTGGAAGCATTTCGTAAGTCATCTCTACGGGCGCGATGGCTGCTTATACAGCTGGCTGCGAGCGATTCCCGGACGAAGCTGGAGCTAAATGAGCCGCCTCTGAGCATGTGCGTCAAGGCTGTTCACGCTTATAAAAACCCTCTACCCACTCCAAGCGATGGTGGAGTGACAGACTCCCGCCAACAACTCTCCACCGGTTCGACTACCTCGCACACAAGGTACTTATAGACAGGTCGTGTCCAGTTCACCTACTTTAACTCACTCTTTGTCCTCTCAGGATTAGCAACGTCCCATCGACAATGCCACTCCACCTCCGCAAGGCCACACTCGCAGACGAAGGAGCCGTGTCGCGCATCTGTTTGTTGACAGGCGACGCTGGCAAGTCTGCCGAACATCTCTTCAAAAAACCAGAAATGCCAGGTCTCGTCTACGCCGTCCCATACCTCCATCTCGACAGCGCATGGCGCTACGTCCTCGTCGAGACCGACGATGCCGGCGTGGAAAAGGATGTCGTCGGCTACGTCGTCGGCTCATCCAACTGCCGTGCATTCGAAGCGGATGCAGAGAAGAATTGGCCACCCCTTCGCCCACGCTACCCTAAGCCCGAAGATGCAGACCGCGACGCCTACACGGGCGCAGAGCTGTATTATCTGGATTTCATTGCTAACCCAGCTTTGACGGGTCAAGAAGTTCTCGATGTTTACCGGCTTTTCTTCATATCAATATCCTCCCACCACACCAGGAAAGGGTGGGGCACCAAGATGATTCGACAGGCGGCGCTGCAGGTCCAGGCAGACGGTGAAAAGGGGTTGTGGGTGGGTATCGATAGTAGGAACGACAACGGTCGTCAGTTTTACAAGGCAATCGGGTTCGAGAAGATGGAGAGCAAGGAAGGCGAATATTATGGGCTGGACATCAAGAGGTTCCTGGACAGTGGACGAGGAGCATAGACACGAAAGTAATAGTCGTGTATTATGAATATATGAAGCAGCTGGTTTACAATGACTGTACCTTACACCCTATAAATTGCAAAGCCCTCATCCTAGGCTTGTCAGCACAGATGCGAAACAAAAAGGAAGGGGCCCACCAATCTCGCCATCAGGTATTCCTGATCCACGAACAGGTCTTGCCATTGAGCTGCATTATCCATCTGCGTCCAACGCACCCGAAATGGCAGCCCCCCGCGTACATCTTGATCGAGCTCGCGTGTGATCCATCCATCTTTGTCCGTCGAGCGCACCAGAAACGACTTTTCTGCCGGATTCGATGGAGTAGGGTCGCGGCCTACGTTAAACTCGAGCACGCATAAATCTGTCGAATTCCCTTCTTGACCCAACGGTAATATCGCACCCATATCGGCTGGATTAGCCAAGCAAACGCACTTGGATCCATAGATGCTCTTGTGGCTCATGAGCCGTACCCCGAGAATGTCAATCCACCGTGTATGTTTGCCGTGGCCTGTCCACGTCTCATAGGCCAGAACGTGTCTCTTTGGGCGGCTATGATGTGGCATTTGGGACCACTCGAATGCCAATGAGAGTAAACGAGCGCGTGAGATGAACACGAGCATTTTGCGAACGACGGCATCCGAGTCGACGGTGGTGGCCTTAATAAAGAGCGTTACAATGTCACGTTCACCCGTTCTCATCGTTCCATCAGTGCGTTGGGATAATATGGCGTTGTTCGAGCCGTGGAGAAAGTAGGATGCAGAGTAGCGACGGGTCGAATGTTGCGTAAAGGCTGGGAGACGAAGGACGAGAGATGTATCTCGTGGACTTGGTGTTTCGAGGTCGAAAAGTTTGAGGTGTGCGTCGTCGGGTGCGACGGTAGTGGTGCAAAATGCGACTATGAGGAAGCGCGACGAGAGCAATGTCGTATGGAGTGCGCCGATGAATGTGCAACTCAACTGTTTCCTGACATGTTAGCAATGAATGAGGGCCAGGAAAGAACGCACGAGAATTGCCCCAGTGGCCCAGTTGACGACAGCGACACCTATTTCGGCTCTAGCCTCGGTAAGCGAGTAAACAAAAGATATGATATCCCCGGATATGCATGTCGCAATGTCAGGTGATGTATACCCTGCGACATTCAGATTGTGGAAGATCCGAGTGGCGGCACGATGGTGGTACTCGCCAGTCTGCATGCTCATCAAGTGTACTGGATAGTCTCTGCACTATGTGATCAGTTTGAAAGAAGCATATTCGAATTATACTCACGTCGCAGCGTCCTCGACAACGACGAGCAAGTGCTGGCCAGGATCGCAGGAGAGTTCAGCACTTGAACGAAAGTATAACGGGCTCAACTACCGTCTTCTTTGGATGATCCAGTGAGATGAATTTCACGCAATCAGATTCGCCGGGATAAGTAGTACAATACGCCAGAATACTGCCGCCAAACTCGTAGATGTTAAAGTCTTGAGCCGTTGGTGGGGATAACACCGGGTCCAAAGGTGCAAGTGCGTTCCATCTCCGGCGGGTCATGGTACAGTTGGTGAGCATGGAGTGGATCGACGCGGAGCTTGCGCGATGTGCCGGCGCCATGCCATCTTTGGCGAGTTGGATGATGAGCTGAAGCTCTGGAGATTTGTCGACAAGTTCCCTGTGAAACTTGTTGAGCTGGAAGATTGATCAATTTGCTTGGAAAGCTCGAGCGGAGATGAAACTGACGAGGCGGACATGGAGAATGTCTATGGCAGCACAGAACCAAAGGGATTCTATCATCATTTCGTTTGGAAGGGACATCCATGAGAGTGTTTGTTGGATCATTATCGTAGACGGGATCAAGGGCTGACCAGCGCCTAGAATGTATGATGTGCAAGCATTGCCCGATCGGTTAGCTGCTTGCGTTGGTATGTATAGTTGTAGTGCAAATTTGGTAAATACCAGTCGGAGTCGTGTCGGAGTCGGGTCCAGGTGTGAATTAAGTCATAAATAACTCGGGCTTCTGCCGAGCTACACGTATGTCTACACAGTTTCAATGACTTGGACTGACTTATTGTGATGTGTCCATCTACTCGATGGCCCTGAAGCGCATGTGCTCGGCATCAGTTGGTCAGCTTCCGCTATACACTCTCCCCGCGTCTTTCGCATCCTCTCAGAGCTTATAAAGTGGCCCTTGATCCTCCCATCTCCCCTATTTCTCAAATGGACGACGACCGCCCAACAACTCATCCTGGTCTCTTTGGCAAACTCTGGAGACCAACTCCAAGCCCGCCTGGCTTTGCAGCAGGTGCTGTGATCCCTGAAATTCACGCAAAGTCAGTGTCTTTGCCATGCTTCTATCCCCCACATTTATTGACGTCAATTTCGTAATACGCGTGTCCTCATAGGCCTTGGTCCATTATCACCTTTGGTTGGCTTTCGCCCATCCTCCGCGTTGGGTTTTCGCGTCCTCTCGAAGTCGACGGTCCGTTTGGCGCCCCCTGAACCCAGTTTCTGACCCTGACGAGCCAAAAATAGACCTCTGGGTGCTAGATGACCCCCGACTGAGCGAAAATCTGGGAGCCCGGCTTGAACGAAACTTTTACGAACGCTGTCCGCCAGAGAAACGACCGAGACATATCCAGGAGCAAGGTATTCTCTCTGCCCGGGACGAGAGATTTGGCGCTAGGGGCGAGCGCAGCAGTGAAACCTCCGAGAAAGAATCACCGGAAGAAATTGAACACGGCCTCACACCCGAAGAGGAAAAGAGACGCAAAAAGGCCTATGATGAGGCACTCGTCTTCGCTCTCGAGAAGACATTCCGATACAAGTTTTGGATGGGCGGCATAGTTCAACTGATTGGAGGTAGAGACCCTTGCAGCATACGAATGCCATAAAACTAACGCTACTCAGACTCCCTATCTACGACGTCACCTCTTGTCACAAAGGCGCTCCTCCAATTCCTCGTCGACTCGTATCTACATGCACGTTACCCTGCCGTGTATCCAAAAGGTCCTCCCATAGGCAAAGGCATTGGCCTCGCATTTGGCCTGTTCCTAATGCAACGTACGCTCCGCTCTCTCATCAATCATTGCATGCTCACCGTCCGTAGAGGGTGCTAGCGTAGCCCACAACTATGGCATCGCTCAAACGATGACTGTTGGTTTACTCATTCGGTCCACTGTTAGTTTCATACTCTTTCCCCTTCGATTGATTAATCTGCCGTAGATTATCGGCCAGATATTCCGCAAGTCTCTGCGACTTTCCGGACGGGTATGTCCTTGACTATTTATTCAGCGTCTACTCATGTATGCATAGGCACGCGTGGAGCATAGTACCGGAAAGATTACTACCATGCTGTCTACAGACACGACTCGCCTCGACTTTGCCCTTGGATTCTGCCACAGGTTTGTCCTCTTGCATGAACTTTCCATAATGTCTAATATATCTCTACCAGTCTTTGGATTTCCCCTTTGATGGTAAAGATCTTCTCATTACTTATCCAGTGCCCGGTTGATTCACGTCTACTAGATCATTCTTGCATTAGGTCTCCTCATTGGTAACCTGGGATACTCTGCACTTGTCTCCGTCGGTGTTCTTCTCCTAGGATTCCCCGCACAGGGTATCGTCGTGAAATTCCTCTTCAACGCACGAAAAGACGGCATTGTCATTACCGACTCTCGTGTCCGTCTACTTCAAGAGGTGCGTCATCAACAGCCGTAGATGCCCTTATCTCACCTCCTTTTGAGATCATCCAAGGTATTCGTCTAGTCAAGATCTACGCCTGGGTAAGCCCACCCGCTTGGCGGGTGATTTTGCTCACGCACGTTCCATAGGAAACTCTCTATGGTCACAAGGTTGATATACTGCGTCGTGATGAACTCAAAAAAGTCCGAACTACATCGTAAGTCCGCTACATCCTCTATCCAGCAAAATGTTCTAATTCCTTGATTCCAGAGTGCTACGTTCGACCTTGATCTCGTTGACATCCTTCATTCCTATTCTCGCTGCCATTCTTGCATTTGTGCGTAGTCAAGAGCTTACTCGCCACAAGGCTGACTCGACCTAGATCACGTACAGCCTCACTGGTCATCCATTGGATCCCGCCATCATCTTCTCATCATTACAGATGCTCAATGTATGTTCCTTTCTTCTCATTTCTGTCGCCTGCTGACCAGTCTCTTCAGGTGTTGCGCATGGTCAGCTCTCGTTACTCAAGTTTGGATTATAGCGTCCTAACACATTCATAGCCTCTCATTATGCTTCCTTTCATCTTCTCACTCAGTGCCGACGGTCTCGTCTCACTCAAGCGTATTGGCGCATTCCTCACAGCCGAGGAACTATCACCGGCCTTTCCCATCGACTCGTCCTACAAATTTGCCGTGGATATTACCGACGGAAGCTTTACATGGGAAGTCGCCGACCCAGCTAAAGCCAAAGGCGAGCCCGGGCCAGGCAAAAAGGGTGGTGCCGACAAGAAAAAGGAAGATGCAAAGGCAAAAGACGAGAAGAAGAAACAGAGCAAGAAGAGCAAGAAAGCCGAACAACAGGCCAAAAAGGATCAATCATCTGGCGAGCCCTCTCCTTCTGGAACGATTATCAATGAGCCAAAGGAGGGCAAGGAGATTTTCAAGCTCAAGAATATCAATATGCATATTGCCAAAGGACAGTTCATTGGTATCGTCGGCAAAGTTGGCAGCGGCAAGAGTAGTCTTCTCAATGCGTTGATTGGGGAGATGAGGAAGACGAATGGCAGCGTGAGTACTCGGTTGCATTGCCTCTCCAAATATTGAGGCTAGTTTGTGAATAGGTATCGTTCAACGGCACGATTGCATATACGCCACAAAACCCATGGCTCGCGAACGCAACTGTGCGCGACAATATTCTCTTTGGAAATCCATACGATGAAGCGAGGTGCGTCACTATTGGCCTCCTTGCATGGGTCAGAGGCTGAATGAATACAATCATCAGGTTCCGAGACGTCGTCCGCGCATGCTCACTCGAACCCGACTTTGAAATGCTTCCTCAAGGTGAACAAACGGAAATTGGCGAAAAGGGTATCAACCTCAGCGGTGGTCAAAAGGCTCGCGTCAGTCTGGCGCGTGTTGCATATTCAAAAGCAGACGTTGTATTCTTGGACGACCCGCTCTCTGCCGTGGACGCACATGTCGGCAAGAGTATCCTCGAAGATTGTCTCACTAGAGGTCCCCTCGCTGGACGTACACGCATCCTCGTTACCCATGCGCTCTCGGCCTTGCCCAGAGTGGACCACATTTACGTTCTGGATAAAGGCGAAATTGTTGAGCACGGTACTTATCAGGTACGAAATCCCCTCGTTTCAGCTTGTTTGTTATGCTGACATATGTAGGACCTGATCGAGCATGGCCCTGTGTTCTCCAAGCTCATAGCCGAGTATGGTGGTACTGAAGCCACAGAAGAGAAAGAAAAGGAGGAAGTGGAAGCCAAGGAGCAAAAAGCCGAAGTAGCTGCAGCGGGCAAGCCGCTCATGCAAGAAGAGGATCGCAACAGGTCAGATTCAATGGTATATCTACGGTCTCTATATTACCGCAGCTGGAGGCTTCATTCTCACGGGTCTCATCATCTTGATGCTTCTTGCGGAACAAGCGGCACAGAGTACGTCTCCATCTCTCCTATTCACCTGGGGATGAACTGATGAGTCTACAGTTGTGACAACACTATTCCTTGGATGGTGGACAAGTCGTTCGATTCGTGGGTTTGGCGACAAGGAATATATGGCGCTCTACGCAGGTATTGGTGGTGTTCAGGCTGTCATCGCATTCTTGAGCTCCTTTGCGTTTGCACTCGCCGGGCTGAGAGCCAGTCGCGTGCTTTTCCGCACGGCTTTAACAGCGCTTATGCGTTCGCCAGTGTCGTTCTACGATACAAGTGCGTCCTCTTGTTCTACAATTGCTCTGTCTTAATCCCTGTCTAGCTCCTGTGGGTCGCATTCTTTCACGTCTCAGTCGTGATATCGAATCGTTGGACAACCAACTGCCCAGTGCACTTTTTCAGCTTATGCGCATGTTGGCTGCGGGTGAGTAGCCACCCTAGTAGGCTTGACTCTGCCCTGACAAACTCAGTCCTTGGTGCAATTGCTCTTATCTTCTACACTTTCCCGTATCTTGGCATCGCGATTCCCTTCCTGTTCATCCTTTACTATATTGCGTCTGCGTTCTACCGGTGCGTCGAGTCAGATTATCAGTATCACGGCTATTAATGTCTTGTAGCCGAACCTCGATTGAGACGAAGCGTCTTGACTCTGTGCTGCGTTCGGCCTTGTACTCTTCTCTCGGAGGTGAGTAATGTAGTTTTCTGACATACAGAGTCTGACTTGTAGCAGAGGCACTCACTGGCCTATCAACCATCCACGCATGGAGAACACAGGTAGAAATCCTGGAACCTCGTTGGATCCAGCTAATGTGCCCTAGGACCGCTATATCAAAGTCGTCGACGCGGCTATCGACAACCAGAATCGCGCGTATATTGTATCCGTGCTGATCCAGCGATGGCTCGCAATGCGTCTTGACTTTATTGCGAATCTGCTCATCCTCGGTATCGGTCTCTTTGCTGTCGGCGTCAGAAATACGTCAATCCATCCAAGACTGGAGTGGTGCTCTCGTACACCCTTGCCATCACTCAGACACTCTCTCAGATGGTGACGCAGATGGTAAGTATTATCGCGACTTGTTTCAATCCTAGCTGGGGACTTATGCGTATACAGGCGAGATCCGAGCAAGAGATGAATGCCGTTGAGCGATTGGACTACTATGGAAAACTCCCACAAGAGGCACCACCGACGACAAAAGCGGATCCAGACCAGAACTGGCCAGATAAAGGCGCCATCTCCTTCAACGACGTCAAGATGGCGTATCGCCCCGGTCTCCCTCTCGTCCTGCACGGTATAACCTTTGACGTCAAGCCAGGAGAAAAGATTGGAATTTGTGGGCGTACCGGTGCCGGAAAGAGCTCAATCCTTCAGGCTCTCTTCCGCATTGTCGAGATTGAAGGTGGGACTATCGAGATTGATGGCGTGGATACGAGAAAGATTGGTTTGGACGTTTTGCGACGACAGATGGCCGTTATTCCACAGGACGCGCTTCTCTTCCAGGGTACCGTTCGCGAAAACATGTAAGTGCTAGCTAATATCCAGCACATCCAGGCGCTGACATCAGGTGTTTATAGCGATCCACTCGGAATGCGTACAGACGCAGAGCTTCTTTCTGCTCTACGTAGGGCCGGCTTGCTTGATACGACGTCCGAGCCAGGTACCTCAGATGCAGCTGAGGCGACAAAAGGTGGCGCGGATGTATCGCGCTTCGAACTCGGTGCACTCGTGAGTGAAGGAGGTACCAACTTTAGTGCGGGTGAACGTCAATTGCTGGCCTTGTGTCGTGCCCTCGTCAAGGAGAGCAGGGTAATTGTCATGGTCAGTCGTGGAGGATTTGGGAAATATCTGAAGCTGAACTTGGTGTCTTTATTAGGATGAGGCTACGTCCAATGTCGATGTCGAGACCGACGCAAAGATCCAGAGGACGATTCAGACAGAATTTGCCAAGTGCACGCTGCTCTGCATCGCGCACAGGCTTAATACGATTGGTGAGTACCCAATATCATATCCTGGCTGGTTCTCATCTCTCCTTAGTCTACTATGACCGGATCCTCGTCTTGGATGCTGGACGGGTGGCCGAGTTTGACACGCCGCTGGGGCTTTATGACCGAGAGGGATCGATCTTCCGATCTCTCTGCTCAGAGGCATCACTTAACCGACAAGACATCATCCGCATTCGCAAAGCAGTTCATCCTGACGAGCAGCTTGAATGAGCCGACCAGGGAGCACGATACTAGAATAGACTCGAGAACACACGCAGTTTGGGAGCAATTGGATCTTCTCTTATGTATACATGGCGCCTAATAGTATGAAACGTCCAAGGCAACATACCATTGGACACTGTAAACAACAGAGGTCAGAATGGGCACGACCACGGGACAAGACATCGAGGATGACTTGCTGCGTGTCGTGCGGCGACAATTGAAACCACGCGCACAGACAAGAGCACATACACAAGCATGCACCACGGAAAATGCGAGTTTTTGAATCTAGAGACGACGACCACGACGACCACCCTAGATAGAATGATTCAATATGGGAAATAAGATGGATATGAGAACCGAGACCAACCTTGCGGCGAGTGCAGTCAGTCGGGACAGGTGTCACGTCCTCGATACGACCAATCTTCATGCCAGCACGAGCGAGAGCCCTGAGAGCCGACTGTCCACCTGGACCAGGTGTCTTTGTTCCGGTTCCTCCAGTAGCACGGAGCTTGATATGAAGAGCGGTAATGCCGACTTCCTTGCAGCGAGCAGCAACATCCTGAGCGGCCAACATAGCGGCGTATGGAGACGATTCGTCACGATCAGCCTTGACTTTCATGCCACCTAGAACGGACAGTCAGTCAGCTACTCTGGATCGTTTTGATCAAGAAAGCTGGAAAAAGAACAAAGACTGACCGGTGACACGCGAGATGGTTTCCTTGCCCGAAAGATCGGTAACGTGTACAAAAGTGTCGTTGAAAGACGCGTAGATGTGCGCGACGCCAAAGACGAGCTCGCCCTCTGCGACCTGAGGACCGAGAGAGACGGTAGCTTCTTCCCTGACAACCTTTCCTTTCTTTGGTGGCTATAAAACCTCTTCATCAGCTGTCTGGCGCGATGCTATCAGGGTATTCGTACCATGGTCGAGGTTTTGGTTGGGATGGACTGTTTGGCCAAACAACAGACTGGGAGTGGTGGCGGGAATACAAGTCAAATGCCGAATATTTCGTGTCAATTCATTCAATTTAACGGTCATTTGATAGGAGAATGCACCTGGCAGCCAGCAGGTAGACTTGCCTTGACGGATCTGGCTAATCCAAACATCTCATCTGAAAACTATAGCACTTTTAAACCTTTTAATCCCATTTCAGCAACTTGGAGTTGTCCCAGGACGCCAGCAGGCGAGAGCCACTGGCCAGCGCCTTTTTAGGAAACTCCAACTTGAACTCGGCCAAAGCTCAGACGCACAAGACGATGGCGGACCCCTGGAAACGTACGTCCGTCTCTGTTCGCTACTATCCCCAATACTGATCGATCTGCTGATGCTTGTCTTTCTGGTTTTCTCCCATTTTTGCCGTCCCGATTCCCATCTTGCCACTGATGATCCAACCCGTGATCCGTTGTTCAGAGCAACTCGAGTACTATGTCATCAATGGTGGCAAAGCTGCAACCAAATCCGCCACTGCAGTCGCACTCATGTATCAAGCTCAAGGCGAACCATGGTCCAAGACGGACAATCTTGCAGTCAGTAGCGGTCCCATCTCTGCAAAACATGCGCTGATCAATACCGCTTTCAATGCCCTTTATATGATTTTACTAATTGCCTATCTGATTGATATGCCTTTCAGTTCCAACCTGGAGAGGCAGACGCAATTAGAAAGCTTTTCACAAACCCGAACCGAGATGAGGCGCGAGCCAATGGCGTCCGGATCGGCGGGAAGAAGTACTTCGTGACCTCATTTGAATCTGGCAGTCGGAGCCTCTACGGAATGCAGGGTGTATGTGCTTTTGATTCGCCAAGTAAATACACAACTGAGGAATTGACGATAGCCCAACGGATGTGTGATCGTAACGACGAACAGCTCAATCATTGTGGCCATTTGCGAACCCCCTATCGACCAGAAGCTATGCATCGCTGCCGTAGAAGGATTTGCAGACTACCTCATGAAGTTGAACTACTAGGTCCTAATGCACGAGCCAGATAACTCGCCATTTTGCGACTAGTCGTGTTTCTTTTCTAGTACAGCATACAGAGAAGAGAGAGGAGACAACTTTTATCATTAACTTCACCTCGTTATCATCCTCACGGGTCGGTCACGAACTCTGTTCGTTCGCCCCGACTACTTTGACCTATCCTCGTAAAAGTGAATGGTTTATCACACTTCCTTGCGTAAAACTATTGGACTAGAGAGGGCGAACAATTTGACTTGTACAGACATAGGAATATACCCCTCGTCAATGTCCATTCCCACCGACTTCTCCGAGTAATAGTCAAGATCAACTCGGAGCTCCGAATTATATGGCTCGTCTTCCGCATCGGTCATCCTCTGTAAACTCCGCGCCTCGGACTGATGTCGTCACTACGTGCCTCGGATCCAGAATCCTTTGGTCCCTTGTCGCTGGAGAGTGCCTATGATTAGAGCTCGTCCACATATTGCTGCTCCCATGGGTACAAAGGATCCTTCTCCCCCGTTGGTGAGCGTAATGCCTTGGCCCGACACGCTCGTTGTTGACGCATGTCGGAGCTCTGATGGAAATTTTGCAGCGCTCATGCTTCCCTTTACAGGTTGTAGCGCTCCACATATCATTGGATTCCATGTCGGAAGCAGAGGACATTGGACAGTTACCGAACCATTTCGGAGGAGTCTGTTAGGAGACGTCGTGGAACCAAGAGTGCCGTTGGTCTTGAGGTAAATAAATAAGATTAAAAGAAAAGCTTGTAGATGCGGTCAGTTCCAAAACCCTGGCGAGGGATCTGTTCATCCGACATGAAATGAATACATTGAGACGGGCAATAGCCCGCTGGAAGTTATCAGATAATTCGAGGATCACCCCAGATTAACCATGGCGAGAATGAAACGAGCATCTTACAAATTCTACATTCTCTAGTCTACAGGAAGATGGGAACTAGTTCTTGACAGAAGAGAGCATATACTATTAGCCATAGCCGCCGCAACAGATCATTGATCAATGTCTGTTCGAACGTTTGTCCAGGAGGGTCCACAGTGAAAACGGCTAAAATCAATTTTGGTCGCACGAAGCCGACCCTTTGTCGGTATAGTCAGAAGAGAACGTGGATGTTGCAGCCCATGTCGATTGTCTGGTGGAACCCAAAAAAGATATTTACTGGAAGATTGGACCCAGCCATCCTGCGAAAGCGAGCACCGATCGAATCCGGGTACAAGGGTTCCTTTTGAATCATCTGTTGGGCTGCTCGAGCCTGAATGCGCTTCTTCATTTCTATTGGAGCTCTTTGAGATCGCATCTAACGACAGGTGTCAAGTCATCACAAATTGAACAACAAGCGTAGGCCCCCTTACCAGTTTCCGCGTTCCATACCCTAATTGTTTTGTCGGAAGAGCCGGAGACGATTCGCGAGCCATCTGGAGAGAATGCCACCGCGTTGATCATGGATTTGTGACCGAGAAGTGGGCTTCCTAGTGGACGACCAGTATTTGTGTCCCAGAATCGAATCGTCCCGTCAAGCGAGCTAGAGACAATCCGTGAGCCGTCAGGCGAGAACTTGAAAGTGTTGATAGGTCCGCTGTGTCCTCGGAGTGGCTCTCCGAATGGCCGACCAGTGTCAGCGTCCCACAGCCGAATTGTAAAATCACACGAGCCAGAAGCAACCCGTGATCCCTCTGGCGAAAATGCGACAGCGACTACTAGAGCTCCATGACCTTGTAGCGGCTCTCCCAAAGACTGACCGGTATGTGCCTCCCACAATCGAATCGTCGTTTCAGCGAGGCTCTCGGGACCATCAACGGCTCGCGAGCCAGAGACAATTCGGGAGCCATCTGGCGAGACCGCTATCGCAATCACTTTTTCATCAGGACCTCGGAGTGGCTCTCCCAGCGGCTCACCAGTCTCACCGTCCCACAGTCGAACGGTATTGTCGCGCGAGCAAGAGATAATTTTTGACCCGTCCGATGAGAAATGTACACTATAGATCCAGCCTTCATGACCTCGGAGTGCCTCTCCCAACAGTTGACCAGTGCTTGCTCTCCATAGTCGAATTGTGCCGTCGCTCGAGCCAGAGACGATTCGCGAGCCATCAGGCGAGAACGCAACAGCCCTGACGGAGTCTTCATGGCCTCGGAATGGCTCTCCTAATGGCTGACCAGTCTCTGCGTCCCATAGTTGAAGCGTCTTTTCTTCTGATCCAGAAACAATTTGCAAGCCGTCCGGGGAGAATGCGATGGCCGTCACTGAGTTTTCATGATCTTGGAGTGACTCTCCCAACGGTTCACCAGTGGCTGCGTTCCATAGTCGAATCGTCTTGTCGTACGAGCCAGAGACGATTTGAGAGCCATCTGGCGAAAATGCCACCGCGCTGACACCGGATTGATGGCCGCGAAGTGGTTTTCCCAGTGGCTGGCCCGTTTCTCCTTCCCATAGCCGAACGGTCTGGTCCGATGAGCCAGAGACAATCCGTGACCCGTCTGGAGAGAATCCCACGGCATAGACCCAACCTTCGTGACCTCGGATTGGCTCTCCCGCATGTTGGCCGGTATCTGCCTCCCACAGTCTAATGGTCCGATCCCACGACCCAGAGACAACTCTTGAGCCATCTGGAGAGAACGCTACCGCTGAGACTCGGCCTTCATGACCACGCAGTGGCTCTCCCACCAGTTGACCGGTATCAGCGTCCCACAGTCGAACTGTCCGATCAAGTGAGCCAGAGGCAATTCGTGAACTATTTGGCGAGAATGCGATGGTGGAGACCCAGCCCTCATGACCTCGGAGTGGCTCTCCCAACGCCTGACCAGTATCTGCGTCCCACACCCGAACGGTGTTATCATACGAGGAAGAGACAATTTTTGATCCGTCTGGCGAGAATAAGACAGCCAAAACACCGTCTTCATGACCACATAGAGGCTCTCCCAACGGCCGGCCGGTGTCCGGCTCCCAGAGTCGAATCGTCTTGTCGTTCGAACCAGAGACGATTCGTGAACCATCTGGAGAGAATGAGATAGAAAATACCTCCGATGTGTGACCACGGAGCGGCTCTCCCAGTGGCTGACCCGTTTCCGCCTCCCACAATCGAATTGTCTTGTCTCCCGAGCAAGAGACAATTTTTGATCCGTCTGGTGAGAATTGAACGGCGTATATCCACCATTCATGGCCTCGGAGAGTCCTGGGAAGTTGGGGATATCTCTCTTCGAAACCTTGCGTCACACTGAGTGTATTTGCATGCCACTTCAGCCGTTCGTTATGTAGTATTGACTGCCTCGGACTGAATGCTAGTGCTGAGATGTAGATGTGCGGAGCACTGTCTTGAATCGGCACCGAAAATGCCATTAGAAACCGTCGAACCTCCGTCATCATCGTCCTAGTCTCCTCTTCAATCTGCATCTGTGTAAGTCACTATAATATGTACGTATAGACTACTCACTCTTCTATGGCGCGCAACAGCTCGAAGTCCCGCTATCGCCCTTGGTACCCCTCCCGTGAAACTCAGAACCTCCATCCAGTATAGGACATATGGGCTTTTGATCACGTGTTCAATTCCGTCCTTTAGCCTAGTTCGCCACCCGTCATCCGTTTCCGCCAAATGAAATAACCAATGCAAACCAGCATATCGAAGCCGCCTTGGAATGAACTTTGAAATTCTCTCTTCTAGATCCGGAATCTGCCTGTTTAGGAAGAAAGAGGATTCGATTTCACATATGTTGAACTTGAGTCCTCCAATCGGCAACTTGAACCGCTTCAAACACCACGATGCTGTTTGACCGTGAGCATTGCCGATATCGATATGTAGTTTATTTCGGTTATCGCCACCTCGGGGGATCGAGCACCGTCGAAGGTACTCGACCAGCGTTGGGTGACGGAATTGGATCAGATCCGTCTTTGAATCCACACTGAGTACGCTTCCTAGATTCTGTACCAGGGCCCTGGCACTTCCCCGTACTTTTGCATGTTTTACTAGATCGTCCAGATCGTCCACCGTCAGCGGTTCAAATGCACCGTGCAGCAGCGCCAGCATTGAACACATGACCGCGTAGTACTCGGGGTCTGTCCGCTCGAAGACAAGATTGTATAGGTCGTCGATCACTCCTGGCTGGTCCAGAGAGATCAAACGGTCATATACGTCCTCGGCTGAACTCAATCTGGTTTCACTCGTGAGCATTCGACATGCGGTGCTCGCCCAGATGAACAATCCGTTGGCCTTTTCGGCCAGACGCGGTCTCTTGTCCTGCGGTAGGACTTCATGCAATGAATGATGCACATACACCGCGATATCGTTTGTGATATCCGGGTGTTTCACATCGTGAAGCCGATTTTCCAACTTTTCCTTGATCAAAAGTCCCTGCAAGACCGCCTCGATGACGGGACCTGGCCGACTGGTGAGAAAGATTTTGAGGTTCGCGCACTCTCGAGCAGCGGTAGCAAGCGCCTCGAGAAGTTCCCTTCGCTGTGATCCAGATTTGCATTCGTCGATAGCGTCGATGACGAGGATCACGCGCTTATCTGACTGGAGGAGTGGATTCGTGATGAGTGTCCGAAGTTGCTCATCCACAGAACTTCGCATGAAAGAAGGGTTCTGTTCCACAGCTTTGGCAATGTGGGGTCTGAGATCAGGGAAATAATGGACAAGGTCTCTTGCGATGGTCGAACAGAACTTGTCCGTGGTCGATGCGTCGTTGTTTGCCATGGAGAAGAAGAATCGACCCCCTAACACTCCTTCGTTCCGCCATGATTCGACTGCGGACATTGCGACTGTAGACTTGCCGGACCCGGCTATATCACACAGCCAAAATATCGGCTTCTCCGACGGCACCTCACTGGCCCAGCGCCAGATTATCTGAAGGACTTTCTCACGCGTTCCTTTCAGACAGGTCGTATGAACCGAGGACGCAGCGAATGCGACTGTCGGTAACTGAAGAATAGTTGCAGTCTCGACTAGAAACGGCTAAGCAAGCCTCTTACAAAGATTTCAGACTTACTCTTTTGTTGAATGCCTTGAGCACGCAGTGCAGTAAAAATACCCAACGCTTCCTGTGTATATAGTGAGATTGCGAAGAAGACTGAAGAGACCCGCACCATGAACTGCCGATGTCTGTCCTCGATATCTCTGTTCAGTTCACGAATCTCTCCAGCATCGATCTTCACTTTGCTCATAGATTTCAAGAACCCAAGTTTGCTGCGACTTCGTTTCTCCCTCACTTCGACCACCGTATCATGGATATCTTCGAGAGCTCTGCTTCGATCAGCTTGCTGAAGAAATGTAGAATCCTCACATACTTGAAATAGTCCATCAGTGGCTGTCTCAGTGCCTCGTCGAAAGCCCTATCGTTTGCGGCATATGCCTTGAACAAGGTGGTTTGCTTTTCGAGTCCGCTCATGTATCCCTTCAGACGCTGTGTTAGGTTCGTCCATTCTTCCTGGTTGCTCTCGATAGCCTGCCCGTATTTGTCAGTTGAAGCCGTTGAGCGAGTTGGAGCAATTTACCTGCATGATATCAAGGACAGATTTCGTCGCTCGACATGCTGCTTTGAGAGGAGCAAGTACATCTGAACCCTCGGATATATTTCCCAATGCATCGAGGCCAAAGTTGACTGTGTGGTACACTTGATTCTTCCTGGAAGACGAGCTTTGGGCGACAGAGGAAGATTCGGGTCGATTGTCAGTTTCATGTGGTTTCTCCGACTTGTCCCGCCGTTTGGCCGACATCCGTGGACGCGGATGGATCCAAGATGGGCGGCGTCGTGTGTCAAAGAGTGTCGGCACAACACAGAGCCGAACACAAGAGTGGAGAAGAGTAAGAGTTGTGATTCATAGGGTATTTTTGGACTCGTTAGGTGGTTCAGTTGCATGGAAGCAGGAATCAAGGTGACTACTGTCGTGTATCTCTAATGCGGTATGGTCAAGGTTTGATAGAGAATGCGATAGGCAATGTATTGCAAATGTCATTTATACACGTTAGGCTCAACTCCTGCGCAGCCCAAGTACCTTCTGAGCCTTTGGACTACTCGATTATCTACCCTTGGTGTTACACAGAATCAGTAAGCCCTACTGTTAGACAGAAGGGTGTTACGGCGAAAAGGTATATATA